CATTGAGTTCAGTTCTTCACACTACACATCCGTAGTAATGCTCACTCCGTTTGGTAAGAATTTGTGATGAATCAGAATAGCGCGAGCGCTAGACCATCAGTGACCATCACTTTCCTAGGGGTAAGTTTTCGTTTAGGGCATTGTTTAGGTGCTGAACTAGGATTCAACCAACATGCTAAACGCGTGTGGTTATCACACAGATTTCATTTTTCGTCGGAGGTGACAATGCAAATCAAAATTCTTTCATTTGTGTGTATATTGAGCAGTGCAGTGCAAGGCACTACTCGATGCATTTTTTTTAACTCGTTGAGTACCGTTTATAGACACAATTAAAGAACAATAGGTTGCGGTCACCGGTGACCGCTTGGTGTTTGACAGTTTAAGGGTGGAAAATCATCGAATGACTGCTCCCGCCTGGGTGAGGCGGGAAAGAGTGTCAGACTCTTACTGACTAAAAATCACCCCGTTTCTTCTCCTGTACGTCGAGCCGGAGCCCCGGTTACCCGTTAGGTTCTCTGCGACTCCGAATCGGCATCGACCCTGTTGGGCCCCATCTGTGGTGGTCTGATGGCTCTTTGAGGCGCGCGCGGAACGCGACGCCCCGTACGCTCGGGTCTGTTTCTGGTCGGACGGGGAGCCACCCATGCTCACCGTCCGCAGGCCCGCGCTTACGGTAACTGGAGATCGTCCCGCGATCCCCGACGCCAGGTGTGTCCTTCGCGATGGTTGGGTTGCGAGGAGCCAGCGCTTCGCTGCCTCACACGTCCCGCCTCCTCCTTAGCTAGCATAACTGCTTCGCAAAAGGACGAGACGGCATCCCAGTCCCCCTCGCACTGCTCGATGCATACTTAGCTCTGTTGATCATTTAGTTTATGGGACATCCACTTATCAAGCTTTTTTACCTTGCCAATTTGACGCAAATGTACCAATATTGTTTTGACGCTAATGTCGATAGCTGTTGCTAAATCAGCCGTAGATTGTATGTCATCAACCTCCACAATAGCCCTTAAATTGTCATTGTTGCCGAAGTTCATCTTGAAATTAAAGTACTTAGGATTCAATTTCGATGAGCGTTATACGTAAACACTGGCGGTGTGCGCGCGTCCCGTCTGTCTTCGGCGCACTCTGGAGTGACTGAAGCGCCAGCGCACGATAGTCCAGTTGGATGATAACGATTTTTAACACCAGGGCGATGAAATAAATATGGTATCATATGACATGATTTAAATGTACCATATTAAAACTTAGTGATTGAAAGACCGACTCGTATTTCTATGAATACTGGAAAAATGTTTCAATATTCATTATCAATGTTATCGTCTGTATAAAACGACATGCATTTAAAAAAAAAATGAGGGTTAAATGGTTTATGACTAAACAAAATATCTAAACGAAAACCACTATTTGGTTTAAGTAGCACCCTGCGTAGAAAATAGAGGCAGCTAGAAATGTTTAAGAGACGTACCATGACGCATTTGGATGACGGACAAATGTTTTAAGCGACATCACACCGTGTGATTAGTGGGAAGTCAAAATGATTCAAGTTACTTGTTAATAAAAATTAGAAACAAGAAAAACGCTTTAACTCATGTTGACTTAATAATTAGAGATAGGGTGACTGGTTTATGTCTCGGTTATTAATATGATGGTATGGTTCAAGTACATAATTTAATAAAAAATGCGAAATCCATGTCGTTTAATACACTGCCACTTTGGAAACAACATGAAAATAGAATTGTTTGAAACGCCAAAAACGTGCTCCGATTTTAATGAAACCGGCATCATTCGACGGAGAAAAATTCGCTGATTCCGAATATATATATAACTCAATATCGCCCAAAATGTCGCTTAAACCAAATAGCCCGTTACCCCTCGAATGATCGTTTAAAACCCCTATCCAATAAAAACGCCTCTAACATTTTTCACACTCACAGTTTGTATAAAAATTTGTACTTCAAACTCGTATATGACCAAATATACTAATAAACGGTTTACTAAAATTATTCCAAAATTGATTCTTAGTTGAATTTATATCGTCAGATTTTATCAGTAGCTGGGATGGATGTGTTTCGTCATAATATTGTGACTTGGCATTTAGACGCCCTACAGCGATGCACGCCGTAACATCCAAATGCAAAGGGTTACCTGCACTCTGCAGCCAGTCATTACGACAAAAGGTAATGCCCTAGTTTTTGGTAATATGCCATAGGATCTTAAGACATTAAGGTTAAAATGATTTCGACTCTTTATATCACAACGCGGTGTCAAATTCTATGTGTAATGGTTTATCGTTGCTACTTTGTGTAATAATTTTAGAATATAATACATTTTGACCTATCAGAGAACTGACCTAAAACTTTTTACTGAACACTTCTTGACAATAAGGACACTGTTAAAAATTTCATCATGAAATAAACTATGTATTTTAATTTGTTGTTCTTATCGCATTAATTATGGAATATTCATTGGAAAATACAGAAAAATGTCACGTAAAACTAGGAAAGTAGTAGGTAACTGGGTTGATATTGAAGTAGACCAAACATTAATGATAGGTATAACTATAAATACATAGAAATAAATAATCAATTAATTACATTTCCTAACACAAACTCGACACGTACCCAACAAGAATATGTAGAAACGAGCCGCAATTTTAGTCCAATGGAATTTCATAAAGCTGTCAAGTAAAACCATAGAAAATTGTTACTTTCGTAGCATATTTTGAATGAAAATGCTTGTATTACATAATGAACATAGTTGTAGTGAAGTACCGAGCCTATATAGTACGTTCCGCTTTGTGATGCAAATGAATGGTTCGCACGGCTTGCGCAAGAGTCGTCAGGCATCAGGCGGGGAAGGTCGATGCCTCCGTTTGTCATTCGCTTACTAGGACTCTTCTATTTATTTACCGCTATTTTCTATTCTGTTCTACTAATCTAGTCTAGATTCTAGATAAGATTCTCTAGTGTAATCAAGAACAACTTGTAACAATTAGAGGGCTTATAAATACCTTTTCAATTAAAGGCACAATTTAAATATAACGCTCCAATCAGCACGTACTATAAAAAAAACAAATGCGTGCAATCAACTCGTTAGTAATTTAAAAATAAAATCGACAAATGAAGAGAAACTAATCCGAATAATTGCACGTAGCTTGATCAATTGTTTCAATTGAGAGGTATTAAAATAGTTAACTAACAACAAATTATTGCTAAGTTGATTAGTTTAATCGTCAATAAATTAAGCTGAGTGATGGAATCGTTTCCAGTTAATTAAGATTTGAAGGGACACTATTATGCTATGTAGGTATCTATTTAAGTATATTTTGTTTATATTTGTGTTCATTATGTTTTGATTAAAATTTTAGGTGAAACACTAAAACTTTACTCTTTTAAGAGTAACTAAGTTAGGATTACAAAAATTCCCTCGGCTTCCACAAGCCAACTATCTCTTATTCTGTGCCTAGCCTAAGCACAGGGAGTTCATGAGGATTTATTTATCAACTTGAAGTCAAAAGTAGCATTCATTTATACATACCCATTTGGTTGACAAGTAGTGTACTATATTTTTACTATCAAATTATAGGTACTACTTATTTAAGTTTCGCTCCACAATATTATTAAGAACGACTTAGGTAGATCATGCACTAACGCGTGATCCTTGGTGTGTCATATAAGTATCGAACCGGTTTCTAAATTTAGGCAGACTGAAATATCGGATGCATTTTTGTGCAATATGATACTTGTGTCTTTGAGGCTAAATGTAGCTTTACCACCGATTGAGAGAATATTTTATGATGTTAATAAAAGACTGCCTCGTTGACCGAGTGGTCGCAAGTGCGATTGACTTGGTTGTCGGGTTCCGAGTTGAGGAGCAGGAGTAGAAACAGAGTGGTTTTTATTCAGTAAGAGTCTGACACTCCCTCGCCTTACCTAAGGTGGGAGAAGTCATCTGATGATTTTTCCCCTTCAAAAAACAATCATGAATAAATAGATAGAGATATTGATACCTGGGTAGGTACTAATTCATGGGCCTGACTGACTTGACCCTTGGCCTTTACAGTAGGGTACCTAGGTTCATTACTTTCCAAATTCATAAGTACCTACTCTGAAGAGAAAGGCTACGTATGGGTAGTTATATCGGTCATTGGCGATATCCTTAGGTAATAGAAGTCTCGCGAAGTTATAGCTACTGGAAGATCAGGTAAGGATCTGCAGAGAAATTCGACCCTATTTTAACTGGCAACTAAGATAACTTTTAGTTAACGTCAGTAATCACAATCACAACACTGCGACCAATAGGTCTATCGCGGGTTTGATCCCCGCACAGAACAATTTTTGATATGATGTACAAATAGTTTTTTGAGTCTGAGAGAGATATTATGTAGATTGTATATGAAATGGCATGTTTATATACACACCCACGACAGAGAAGAAATCTGTATAAGTAAGCAATGGTTTATAAGAAAAATATCTTAGTGCAATTAGGTACAAAACTGATGAATTATAATCAAGCGATATAAGCAAATGATTTATAGGAGAGGCGTACCTAATCGAGAATGTTCATTTAGTCATACGCTTCGAAATACGTGGGAAGGGATTGTTTGCGTGTGTGCAAATTGAGAAAAAATAACACAACATGTACAAAATACGTAATAAAACGTGTTTATGCCTAACAACAACACGGCATAGTTTGCAGGAAAGTATCGACATCGTTTTACAGTCATTATGTCTCTCCGCATCTTCAGCAATTTGTGCTTAGGTAGAACGATGCGTACGAACTACCCACGACGCGGTGCAGAGAAATCGCGCCTCTAGCCCTTCACTTCTAAACCAGTGCCTAGCAGTCACAAGCTCTAGAAACAGCTGAACGGCCTCTACTCGCCACAACACATTCTTTACATAAATTAACAACCGTTACCTCTGTTATAGCGTTTTATAATGTCAACATAGGTCACACATGGTCGCTTGTTTATGTTATTATGAGAAATGTTTGCTTACCTGGTATGGGACCTTTGGAATCCTTCCTCTGCTCATTCTGATCCTCCCCTCTCAGGGCACCTCCTTCCTCCACTTCGGACACTTCATCCTCACACCTTGTCTCACGCACTGCCAAAAGGAAAGCGCACACACACACCAACGTAATCCTCATAAACTCTCTCATCTTCATCATTATATCGTGAAGAAACCGTCAATAAAACCCATTTTCGATCGTCGATCGATTAAAACTTGACATTAAAACAAACAGTCACATTTTCGTTTGTTGCAACTGGCTAAATAAATCCAATGACATACGCAGGACACGAGCGAGGTATACGGAACATAACACGGACACTGGACATCACTTCATACAAACACAAGCTTCAACAAATTATATTTACATATAAAAACAAACGTAATATTTCGGATCGATTATATTTTTATTTGAAACATAAATACGCGCGTCACTCAATGTTGGCAGCGATGGTACTGGCGCGCTGGTTGGTGGGAGATCGTTGTTGCCCCCACCTGCGCGCGCGCACGATCAATGGACGCGGTATCGAGAACCGGCAATAACTGTAGCTGAGGTTTCTACAGAGATATGTTATCAGGGAAGAGTGCCCGCGCCGCGTAATTACTGTCGCCTCTTGTGGTCAGATAGGTACCGTTCTAGATCATTAGCTGACCGTTGCAATTTTGTGCGGCGAATTCACACTCCATTGTTTGTGTTTTGCCTTTTATAATCATTAAAGTTAATTACTTTATCAATTCACCTTATGCACAAAATATTTTTACGTTTTAACGCATGCGGCTATCAGACTTTCAGCTTCCAAATAAAAAATAATAATAATAATACAAAATATCTATTGTATTCAAGTTAATAACAAGTAGTAGTAGTTATATTCAAGTTAGGAGTTGTTAAGTTAAATCGAAATATCCAATAATTCCTCCTCGATCGTGGGATTTAACTAAACACCTTATATTCGGCAACTGCACTTGCAATCACTAGACCATCAAGATGATAGTGTCGTTGGTCGGAAAACCGGACTTCTGACTACAGACACGTTAAATTAAAACACGTCAGAATAAGAAAGTTTACGTAACATTACGCTTAAGACTCGTTATTTCGGCGACACTTTCATACCTTCGATAGCTCAGTTGGTAGAGCGGTGGACTGTAGAGGCTAAACATTGATATCCATAGGTCGCTGGTTCAAATCCGGCTCGAAGGAGTCTTTTTGTTATTTCCATAACTTTTTTGAACAGTTTTTTTACAAATTCTTTTTCTCTTGCTCTTGAATGTAAGTGCACAAAAAATACAAGACAAATAAAAGAAAAGACAGGTAATATAATATTAAAATTCGTTTTTAATGTTATAATTTTTTTCAAGTAATTTAAATATATTGACGTGACGCGAGTTTTTGGAATTTTTAAACATTTAATTCTTTAGTTAATGGCAAAATGTAACATCACGGCTTCAATTCACAGAGGAGTAGGTCAAAGTGTATGTTTAAAATTTTAGTTTAGTTTTCGTAGGTATTTCAATAAAAGTAGTAGTATTTGTTGGATATCTGAAGCTAAGGAAATTATGTTTCAAGTTATTAAACTATTTCTTTCTTAATAGTTATAATTTATTAAAAAGTCAAAACAATTATCGTTACTTATTTCATGTAAACTCCATGACTTTAGGACTTTACAATTATTAAATGTTTAACTAAATGATTTCAATTTGCCAAACTAATATTTTATTTTAAGTCGATATCTGTAAAAAAAACAGTAAAAAAGAATACACAGTTGCCACAGTATGAAAATTAAAAATCTAATTAGTCCGTCAGTTATAGTTATAATGAAAAAATATTAGACACATATTTCTTATTTTCTCATATAAAGTTACAATACTTAGTTAAAATGGAGTTAAGTTTAGGAGTGGGAGGTCATTACAAGTATTTAATTTTGTGAGAAAAGAAAGTTTATGTCTAATATTTTAAATTAATCTAGCAGATATTAAAATAAAATTTAGGAAACTAGCATGTTGTTGATGATAAGTACATAATAACTAATAATAGTATTACAAAATAAATTAAAAAAACGAATACTTGAGTAAAATTTTTGTTAAATATTTACAATTATTAAAGTAAGTACTTACATATTTTAGGGCATTTTGATCATCAATGTTTATAAACATAAAGTCTATATATTATTATCATTTTTTAAGCTTTATTTCAGCTAAAACTACCATTTTCTTTTTTATTTTTTATCAAATGTTTGACCAAACATTTCATTCTTTCCAACTTCTTCCGCAGTCTTCGTTTCCCCTGCCACATGAGGTTCAGTCTTTTTTTTCTATTTTCTGCTATTATTTCTAATCTGTGCACTTTGTATTTGAGTTGAATTACTTCTTCTGTATCTGTGGGTTGTATGTCAACTGGCTGAACACGGGATATTGTTGGTTCTGGCTCTTGACATGGCTGAAATATCAAATCTTATGATAAGCATTTATTTTTGTACTTTTATCTTGTAATTTATTAAAAGATCTTTATTACAAAATACAAACATACATATTAAGTTGTCAGAAAATAGTTAGCAACAATTAAATTGATACTTAGGTACATATTATTGTTAGTTAATAAATAGAATAAATCAAATCAAACATGCAAGTAAAGAAAACTATGGTAGGAAGTGATCAGGATTATTTGATTTTTATCTAGTTTCTATAAATAATATTTACTTACAGAAATATTAATAGCAGGTACAGCTTCCACAGACAAGCGCCTGAGCCCACTCTCTGTCAGATAAAAGTCTTTAGTCTCAAAATGTTCAGAGCAAACGGCACTGGAGGCAGTCGAAGACCACTCCTCTTCTCTGTTCACTGCTAACTCCCACTGCTTCCTTCGTTCTTTATCCCGAGGAAACCTGGAATGAATTAATATCATATCTACATTCTACAGTAACATTTTCTTTTACAATTTACAGCGATATGATTGTACCACATTACTTTAACTAATGGTGCATGTTTACAATTTTTTATTGTCAAAATAGATTAATATAGACTATTTGTTTACCTGTGGAATGTAATTCCATCTTTATTTTTAGAAATTTTAGCCGAAGTATTCCTGCAACTTGCTACAGCACAGCTTACCATTACACCGTATTGCAAATACTTAATAAATATGACAAATATTGCAGTGTTTTACAACTATATTTTTTTATTTTATCGTAAAATATACAACTAATAATAAATCATTCTTGTTAGAACAAAATAAACAAACATTTCAAAATAACTTTGGCTCCTTATTCGATACAGGTAATCAATATTCGGTTTAATAACATTAATAATGTCAAATTTCCTTTATATTGTACTGCGACGATCGTGATTTCATGCTTAAAATCTAAAAATTTTAATGTTGGACACGGACATAGCTTGGATGGTGACGGTGACAGATGACACTGACTAATCAAATGTTACCACTTATTGAGAAAGTATTTTATCATTTTATTTATTTTTTGGTCGGATTTTTTGGTACTGCTTGGACTAACGCAAAACTTGGTCTTACTAGTAATATAATAGAAATTAATAATTACTAAATGAAAATATATACAACTTAAAAAATAAATAACTAGAACTAAAATGTTTACAAATATATTGTATTTTTTATTTGTGAATCAAATTAAAATAATATAATTGATGAATGTCTCCAGCTAATCATTTCACTTGAATAATAAAATTATTTATGAAATAATCAATTGCGGTAAGGTCTTAATTCTCTGTACCTTCTTTACTGTACCCCTTCTTTATCCCTCTCTATGAAAACTTTATACTCTTTGGACTCTAGACAAACTCTTTACACAAACTCGGGTATCTTTATAGGACCAGTCAGTAAAAGATCAATTATAATTTTGTTCCTTTATATAAGTAAAAATCGTATCGTACCTAGGTATCTAAGTTTTTTAAACAAATAGGGAAAGGTGAAAAATGTTTTTTGCATCTCAAGTTTTTTTGCTTTAGTACATAAATATTTTATTTAAACCTTGAAATAGACGTCTACCAAGAAATCTATTACTTACATTATTTTAAATCAAGATTTTTATAGTAACTATCGTGTCCTTTTTCAAATGATTGGCGTGTCGTATTTTTCTAATAACTTATTCAGAACGTAATGATAGGGTTCGCATTGATATGTGATACCTTCATTATTTTTTTTAGAATGGGGAGCGTCCGGAGTGTCACTGCCACGCCCACATTTAGTGGGTATAATAGAGACATTTAAATTATCGGTTTCGAGTATAATGTTATATGACTGTGTGGTTACTATTGCTGCACTAGTGATGGACACTACTGGTCAAAGTGTCGATAGATAACTTTTTGGTTTTTAAAACCTTGGTACCTAAACTGCCAAAAATGTAGTTAATTGGTCTACTTAATTAATAACCTGATATTTTTCGAATTTTATAGGACACTCTGATTAATATGGATGTTGTTCCACATTTTTAGCAAAGATTATTTACTAACATAGACTTTCCTTTTTGAAATTCTTGAATTTACAATATGCAGGTGGTGGTGGTAAGTTAATCTTTACACAAGCAATGATTTTCAACTAAATTATAGAATAGGTAATATAAAGTGCTATGGGGTAGACTGTAAAATGACACAAATTGTCGTTTATGTACAATCTTTAATGAAATAATCAGTTGTGTTCTCGTTGCCTTATTCGTTGGGAAATGTTATAGGTGTCTTCATACTAAGGGATGAAAAATCTGACTAAGGGAATGATAAGGATTTATTTAAATTTTTAAGTTATGAGATTTTGACTCATATACTGGTAGATATAGCTACTTCTGATCCCATTAAAGCTTTACACAAAAAACTTGACTGACGATGATCATCGAAGTACAAACAATCAGTTGCGGCACAACAAGTACTTAAGCAAAATACCTGTACTTGATAGGGCTGATGTTAGGGACCTATCTAAGTTGATGTTGTAACAGCAAATACTAAAATTAGACCTGTTGCCACACCAGCTGCTGACCAAATGTTGGATGCATAAGTAAGTACGTTGAGCTTATAGAATCTTCATTATCATCATTTCAATCATAACACAGATATCCAATGCAGAACTTGGGCCTCCCCCACAATAGCCAGTTTCTTTAATGACGAGAGTTTATTACTAGCATTAGTAAGCTGTAGATTAAAAGGGGGTTAAATGTAAAAGACACTACAATTTGAACAACCTGAGGGAACGTAAAATCCCCTAAAAGAATCAGTTCCAATATACAATCAAATAAAACAAAGTAGTATTTTTCCCTACCGCGACATCGTGGGGTTGACCACTACCTACAGCCTTGTAGTCGTATATAAATCCGAGCCTAACAAATTCTCCGTCACTTCGATAAAATCTTTTGGTGTAACAAAATGAATTCGTTTCTTCAGAGCTTAGAAGATCCAGCACGACCTTTCCTAGGTCCGAACTACTGGATTCTAAAGAAAATGGGATTACTTTTACCTAAAAGCATATTAGGCAAAATTTTGTATATTTTCTTGCACGAAACTGTCACCTTTTTTGTCGCTACTCAGTACATGGAATTGTACGTTATCAGATCAGATTTGGATCTCGTATTGACTAACATGAAGATATCCATGTTAAGCGTGGTTTGCATTGTAAAGGTGAACACCTTCGTTTTGTGGCAAAAGCATTGGCGTGAAGTTCTGGACTATATTACAGAAGCTGATAATTTTGAAAGGCAAAATGAGGATCCGGTCAAGAGTCAGATAGTTGAAGCTTACACTAAATACTGCCGGCGGCTCACATACTTTTACTGGGCTTTGGTCAGCACAACCTTCTTGACAACTACATGTTCACCATTAATGAGATATCTGTCGTCATCGACGTTTAGAGAGAACATGCGTAACGGTACTGAGCCATTTCCGCACATCTTTAGTTCGTGGATGCCCTTTGATAAATACCACTCTCCAGGCTGTTGGATCACAGTCCTGTGGCATACAGTACTTTGTGCTTATGGAGCTGCAATTATGGCGGCCTACGACACTTGCATTGTGGTAACGATGGTATTCTTTGGAGGAAAACTGGATCTACTTCGTGAGAGGTGCAAACACATGTTTGGCTCTTACGGTACTGTAATTACAGACAAGCAATGTGAAGAGGTAGTGCGGCAACTTCATGGCATCCATGTGATGTTAATTAAGTGAGTATTGACTTTGTGTATATGCACATAATAATATGTCTGTCGTTCCTTCAAAGCCACGTAATACCATAATGTCAAAAAAATAATTACGATCAAGTGTAGTGCATCTTAACAAAGAAGTTGCGGGAATTCACAATTATGTATCGATCCAATGTTAAATTCTCAGACGTTTGTATTATTCCACAATATTGGTCAAGTGATCATTTCTAGCTGATCACCCAATGTCCGATATCCAAACCTCTCCTTCCCAACGTACAATCTCTTCACTATCTTGATTTAACTGCAATATTGTTTTTGCTGTCTGATAACTGATTAACTTTACCATAATGTCCCAAAATGTAGCCAACAAACTAAAGAAACAAACGAAAATAAAGACGAATTTTACATTAGACCAATGTTAGCTTTTTACATTAACACTAAACAATAAGTATCTGTCGTACCTACAAATAAAATTAGATAAAGCTCCTTGCTTAGAGTCTTAAGCAGATTTAACTCAATCTCGCTATATTGCAATAGTAATTGGGCCTCCGGTATCCTCACTCACACAACGCAGTGTTCTTTCGCGGCGTTTTCTGTAAGGCCGTGGTATCACTCCGTTCGAGCCGGCCCATTCGTGCCCTGCATTGCTCGCCCACACTTAAAAAGTGAACTTCTGCTAACTATATCTTACAGCTTATACCACTTGAAGAATCCCCTAAATAAGTAAATTCATTCCATCTTCCCACCTCTTCAATTTATATAGTACTATACAATTTATAGAATAAATAGGTATCTCTATACGCCATCGTCAACTGTGATGTTCTGTTATGTACCTATTACGTAGCTAGGTGTATAATATAATACTAGGAAAGTACCTACAAGCATCTAAAAAGCTTGTAAGTAATTGTTTATAAATTATTTCCATTAAATAAATTGAGAGGATCAAAGTTAATAATTACTTAGGTATTATTTTTGAATTTCGTTCCAGATAGGACTTTTGGCATAGGTACCAACTGTAGTAGGTGTCGACAGATTTTTCTTCTCTTCTGAAGGTGTTGTTCTCTTCACAAATCTCTGTCTTCGGCATTTTGAGAGTGGTGTTCACTGAGACATTAATAACTCACGATATAATTACATAGCTCATTTAAAGTCTAGATTATGAAGCAAACAAATAAATTGCAACCAACATGTGACGAACAGAATAGGAAGTCGTTCTATGAGAAATTGACAAGCTTGTATACAAGATACAAGCTTAGCAGGTTATCCAGTAAATATGTATCAATTCTATTTGTGCATTAATGTCATGTCGTATGATTTTTTCCAACTGCTGATTACTGGCTCAATCCAAAGGTTGTCTGTAAGAAATTGCATTCTGCGATAAGACCACCCATTGTACACATTCTTTTTATGTTTATTTTCCTTTGCATATCATTATGGTGTACAATAAAGTGTATAAAATAAATGTAAGTACCTAAATAAATAAATAATTTTACTAAACTAAGACTAAGTTGCAATTTACTTATCGCCTTATTCAATTGATCATTTTTTTGTAGGAAGTCAATACTTGTAGGAAAACATAGAACAAATGTTAGGAATCATTTCTCTTTTATATTGTCGTATGAATCAAAGTAAATCATTTCTCTTTTATATTGTCGTATGAATCAAATCTTGATTCCTACCCAGCTTATCGAAAAGGTCTGAGAAGCTAAAATAATATCAGACCTTCACGCGAATAAGTTACAGTCTTTTTTTAAGGGGGGGAAATCATCGAATGATTGCTCCCGCCTGGGTGAGGCAGGAGGGAGTGTCAGACTCTTACTGACTAAAAACCACCCCGTTCCTTCTCCTGCACTTCGAGCCGGAGCCTCAGTAACCCGTTCTCCGCGACATCAGTTTTAGTCTAGGTTCTCTTTTCTCCTCAATTAACTAAATATTGCATTTACAAAGTATGTACAATAAACTTAAAAAAAAAACAAACATACTAGGTACCGAAAAAGTAAAACGTATATTCACCCAGTTTACATAGTCCAAAAAAATTTATCGATAGATTGTATCTCGTACGTGCAACCACTATAAGCATAGGACTCGATGTACGCTCCATTAAATTAACTAACAACGAAAACAATAATTGTGAGCTCCCAATGTTAGTAATTTTTGTGATAATGATCTGTTGTTTCAGGTACTCGAGATTATTTAATTCACTGCTGTCGCCAGTCATGTTTTTCTACATGGTCATGTGTTCGCTCATGCTTTGTGCGAGCGCCTACCAACTGACTGTAAGTGCCTCAGAAACTATCGAAAGTTATAGAAAATTTTGGTTAATATTGTGATATGTTTTCTTATTTTTTTTTTTATTTCCAGTCCGCACAGAATGCCGCTCAGAAGCTTTTGATGGCAGAGTATTTAATCTTTGGAATCGCACAACTTTTCGTCTTCTGTTGGCACAGCAACGACGTTTTGATTAAAGTGAGTTTCACAACTGTGGGTACCTACCCTAACTACCCTACCCACACTCATACCTAGTTAAGAACTTCCTATCAATTTTTTATTGTTATAACACTTAAACACTTTTCTTTATGCAACAGAAGGTTTGATTGATGGAAACAAATGCAAAGGATCGCATTGAATTATTATTCTTTTTCTTTTTTAGAATGAAAATATGACATCAGGTCCATTTGAAAGCAACTGGTACACAGCTAACTATCGGCAAAAAAAAGACGTGTTACTTCTTTCGGGGCAGCTTCGCATCAAGAACATATTTACTGCTGGGCCATTCGCCAACCTTACTCTGCCGACCTTCATTAATGTAAGTTTTCATAGGGCTTGTACACAACAACACAATATGAGAAACGCAAAAGAAAATTGTAACTTATCAAAATTATTGGGATAAAAGTGGTTGTTTTATAGCAATAATTTGATCCATCTTTATGTCTACTCTTCGTGTAGAGCCGTTCAGTAATTCCAGAGACACATTATAATACTTACAAACTTTTCGGATTTGTGTTAAATAAGATAAGAAATAAAACCTAGTAAGAATCAGAGTTAGCAATAAATAAATCTTTAAATGTTTTCTATCCAATGTCAGCAAATGTATACAGAGCCTAACATCAAGTGGGCGTGACAATGTCGATACCGATGCGATGCCGTAACTTGTTGCAACGAATGTCTTATTAAACTTGCATTGGACTTTATTGGAAAAATGGAGGTGTGACTGGAATGACTAATACATAATTATCAACTTACTAGAACGGACTTGTGTTTGTTACCAACCGATATCATAACGGGGATTTTAATAAAAACTTTTTTTTACTTTGCAGATACTCAAAGGGGCTTACAGTTACTACACTTTGTTGAGGAAATAAGAAACTCATTCATTTCTAAATGTTGATGTAGAGTTTCAGTGCCTGAAGAGGTTTAGTGTAAATACAAATACAAATATTATTTATTTCGTCAATGTAGGTAGGTATATGTCTGTAATCACCTAACCACAATCGAGTAGATGCCATATTGTGTTATTGTAGTCAATAATGTTTTTAAATAAATACAATACAAATTAAAGCTAAGACCCATACTGTGTATTTTTATTTTTAATAATCCTAATCCCAAGCCTGAAACAATATTTAACTAATTTTACTTTAGGTACCCAAGCCAAAAATTGAAATTGAGTTAGCTGTATGCATACCTACCTGTAGCTACAAGTAGTTACTTAACTAGTGAACAATATGAATACCTATCTATAATCTTAAATTATATATAGGTATTCATATTGTCTAAAAATAAATCACCCACTGTTGGTAAATCTACGTACAAAATTTTAAAAGGTAAGTAGAGCGCCATCTGGTGAGAGCATACATAACAACGAGCAAGATTAGCTAAAGCGCCATCTAGTTTAAGAAAAGGTGAAATATAAGATGGAGCAATAAAACTATATATTTTTTATAATTCGATTTATTAAATTAGTCTCCTATTGCCTCTTGATTATAAAATTAATGACAAATATTTGTATTACTAATTTTGAGTAAATTTTGAGTCTCAAAAGGATTTTCGATCGGTTTTGTGCAGAAAACCTTTGCCCACCCGGGAAATTAAAAAAAAACAAAGGCTGTCTTTCTCTTTCACGGAAGCTCTTTCTTTTGATTTCTTTCTTTACACTTACGAGCTTTGCGTTAACTTAAAATAAGTAGGAGCTTAATTAAAATAAACTTATACACAAATAAAACAAGTATTGAGTGATCAAGTGCAGTTTATTCCTAAACATAACACGATTGGACGCGGACAGAGTTCAATAAACTTGAATGTCGGGCAGGCCTTTTAGAAATGTCATTAGTGGTTGGTTATTGGATTTTATTGTGAATGTTTTGTGATTCTATCGAAAATAACTATATGTGCTAGTGTCAGAGACGTGTTGCTATGGAAAATCAGAATCATCCTGAGAGAGTTGTGCCGGTTCAATATGGTAGAGGTTCAAGAGCTTTTCGTCAGTTTAAAAATCCTCCACAGCCGCACATGTGTATCCAAGATACAATAAAGGGCACTTCGGAGAAATTATACATTAATGTGTTGGGATGGCAGAAAATAGCTAACCCGAAACAGTATTCAGATCCCATTCCTTTGTATGGTGGAATGCAGGTACATTTTTTATTTTCATTTACATTTTACACTTCACTCTAAGTCGATAAAGATATATTATTATTGCCACTTGTTTACTAATTAAGATTACGTATATTTTGATTTCACGTTGATAAATTCCCATCTCCAAATGTTTGAGTTACCATTAAAATTTTAGTCTGCTCCACTTACTGTAAACATCATAAATCGCTTATTTTATCGATAAATTATAATTATTATTTCATGTTACATAAAACAGATTGAAACTATCTAATAACTACTACTGCTGTGATAGACAAATTAACAAATTAAAATTGTTTATTTCTCTCAAGAAGGTTACTTAGAGTTAGGTATATTAATTATGTAGGTCAAAAGTAAACAAATTAGAAATTAGTAGTTGTAGTGCAAGCAAGCCCTGCATGGCAGGTCCCCATGACTTATTCACAATTATTTTAGAGTTGCTTATTCCTTTTTCCTTTTAAAGTGTATTTTCCATACCTATTGAAAAGGAAGAGTTATTACTTATCAACTTCCTATTGACCAATCAATGTTAAATCATTATATTACACATGGTAACCAACTGTTACAGGTGCCACAGAACTATGGTCCAAATTCAGGGAGACCTCCGATGATAGTGTTTGCAGTTATGGTCAATCCAGACATACTCAAAGCTAATGGGAAAAATGCCAGCAGCCCCACAGTAAGTAAACTATTTGTGTACATCAAAACATTTAATATTTACATTTAAATAAAAGACTAATGTCCTATTTCTTATAGGGAGTTTAAAAGAAAATAAAACACATTATTTAAAAATGGTAAACAATATTGATAAGCCCCCACATAACATAATGCCTTTTATCTCTGGAGAGGTGCACATTATGGCACTGTACAATGTAACACCCACTTTTCACTATTATGTTATGAGTCCCATGTAATAGGGGTGAGCCTATTGCCATATATAGGGTACAAATCAGAGTCCGCGCTACTAATGAGATTGGTTTTTAAAAAACCTAGTAATACCATGCCCAACCTGGGAATCGAACCAACCACTCGGTAACAAGGCAGTTAATCCTCTCCCCAAACAAATTCAAAACCAAACTAAAAATAACATAATACAATATACACTTTTCGAGTTGTTATTATTTACTAATCAATAAGATACTTATTGGAATGATCTTTTTGAATTAATACAAGTCATAAGAAATATAATAATCAATTTCCAGGATCGGGAAGCACTAGTGAGTCTCCTCTGTGACTTTGTGGAGGCTATGAACCCAGGACTAGTGTTAGCAAGGAACCCTGTCATCATGAAGGATAGAGACCTTGCCGGAGAACTGAAAGATGTCTGGCTTGCTGTACAAAATAAAAGAGAGCGGGAGAAAGGAATGAATCAAGATGTTATGTATAAGGTAAGTACTCTTCATCATCATTATCGATTGGAGAATGTTCACTGTTAACTATTAAAGAAAATTCTCAAAGATTCCAATGGATTCAATCTAGCAAATGGTTTGTTTATCTATAAATAAACATTAAAATAATATTTGTTCAAGGTTTATCTGATTATTTACTTCTTATCAATAACTCGAATTTAAAATTGTTATTGTATTTTTTATTATTATGTTTAGCCATAGTGATGAATCAATCTAAATAAACCAATGCACATTCAATATTTAATGCATACTAGTGACCTTGCTTTGTCATTCGCATTATCATAGATCATTAATCTACAGATAATAAATGCAATAAAACTTGACTTACAGGTTTATGACATAGATGGTATTGGTGAAGACAATATGAATGAAGATGATGTTCAAATGAAACAAGGTGGCTCTCCCAATAGGGGACCAAATGGTGACAAAAAACCTGTAAAGTCATCCAAGCAAATACTGCTGAATGCTGGCCAGAAATCAGAATTTGATTCAGGTATGAACAATTGCCAACTAAACCAGACACACTCAAACCGAGACAATAAAACCGGTAACAGTTCACCGGACACTACATACTGTACTCCTGTTTATGGTCAAATAGTTTCAACACGAGAAAATCACAACCAAATAAATGACATTCAGCAAAAGTTCTCTTCAAATGAAATGAAACCTTCAAGCTCATTCCGGAAAGACTGGAATCCCATGCATGGCAAGACAACTGAAGGCTGGGACGAATTCTCAAAACGCAACATATCCACAATCAAAAGCGACGATAAAAAACGATGTATCAAAGACAAATCGAAAATAAGCAATGGCAAGTCTCACTACGATTTCTTCCCATACTTTGACAATAAATCAGCAAATGATGCGGAGGGTTCAGAGGAAGAAGACAGTATGAACAAGGAACAAATTACGAACGAAGAAAATTCTAAAATAATTATAGACCCAATGCAGAAACTAGTTCTGCATTCGACTGATAAGAATATATGTGATAATAACACAAGTGCTCTCAGCTCAATAAGCTCATAAAATAAGCTTTTACAAACATTTTTGTATGGCAGTTGACATTTAAATATTTGATGTAATCGCTTGCATGTCTGCATACCCTCCTCGAACTCGTGACACTCGCAATCTGAATCGAGATGTTTACACTTGGTGAGTAGCAAACTACTCAAATGCCACAATAAAAGCGATTGTGCAAGTGTAACGTGAGCGAATGAATGGTCGGAATATTCATGTAACAATAGCAATCTAGGTGGAGCAATATTTTTTTAATTTTATGGTGTTTAACTAATATTTATGTTTGAGTATGAGATTTGTATGCATGGCTTGTGTTTGATGGTTTTGTCTTGATAGTTTTATAGATCACAATATTCCAGTCCAGCCAAATTGTTTATCACACGTATTAAAATTAGTTAGTGTTACAAATATTATGGTAAATTGTGTGCATGAGATTTTATCACCTATAGATATTGTGAATATTAATGAGCTATTTCACTTGTAATCTTGGTAACAATGTCACAGAAAATAGACTTATTTATTTAAATCGGATACAAAAACCATGACTTTTAAAATACTATGACAGAAACAGAATGCTATACAGAAATACAGTAAGTGTTTATTGAAACAATATAATGTTTATGTGTGAGTTTTATGGTTGTGTATTTAACTAATGGTTGAGTGGTGGTAGCGCTCATGTCGCGTTTGTTCAAACTAGGCCGATTGTTGTTATTATCACTAAAGACTGATTGAGCATTGGCCGAAATATATGGCGACTAATCCCCTTACAGACTCTGATAATCTTGACTTTTAAGATGTTCCTAAAATTATTTCTGTACTAGATACATTTTATATTATAACTTTCGTGAGAAATCTTCAAACCTTCAAGAAAAGAGCGCATTTCTTTTTAAAAGGCCGGCAACGCACCTGTGACTCCTCTGGTGTTGCATTGTTCATCAGGTGATCTGTCGGCTCGTTTGCCACATATTCCATAAAAAAAAACTAAGTTATTATGTTTTCGGCTTACGAAGTTCCTCGTCAAACAGTTAGTAAGCCGAAAACATAATAATCTGTACGTCAAAGTTAAAGTTAGTACAGAAATAATTTAAAATGGACATAGGCTTTCCAATAAGCCTACAAAGTAAATCAGAGAAACAAATACCTATAAGAGTTCAGAACAAAAACAATGTCTAGCCTAATTTGAACTGACAAACAATTGTATAATACATACATATTGATAATTTTTATAAAATGCTATTTTTCATTGTTGCCAATTTACTATACATATTTAAACTCTGAGCTTGTTACACGACACTATCACGAAAGGAAATGAAGTGATATTTGAATGGCAAAATTCTTGTGGCCAATTTATTTATTGTTGTGAGGAAGCGAAGTGTCCTAAGTGGCGTTAGTGAGCCTGTAGATAGCGCAGTTTTATATCACATGTCTCACTAATGTTATTTGAATCGTTTGAATTCTAGAATGCAATGTGTTATTACATATTTTATCCTCTAAATTAAATTAAATATTGTGATGAGCGTTTTAATTGCTCATTGTAAAAAATACTTAAGTGACCAATTATTATGAGTGAAAATTGTTCAGCTCGTTATATCTCTTTGACAATGATCTCGAACTTTAATTAAACATTTTTCAATTGAATGCCTGTAGGTGTTAATACTGAACACTGCCAAATGATGCTTCACTGTAACACTAATGTATAGGTCACATCGACATTGACGAAAGAGCTCATGAAGACTGTTATCAATCTTTAAACTGTCAAACACCAAGCGGTCACCGGTGACCGCGACCTATTGTTCTTTAATTGTGTCTATAAAACCGGTACTCGACGAGTTAAATAAAGTGCAATACATTACATTGTGTTTCTCAATAGATTAGGTAGACAATGTAATGCATAGGCAGGGTTGTCAGGATCTCTGCTTTAGCCAATCTTAGTTTAACAGCAAAAGTTTTAAAATATTTTCATATTTATGTTTTTAAAGATAGTTATTATTATATGCTACTATTATAATTATAATTTTGGACATGCCATTTTCATTAATTTAGCTTTAGAGGAATTTTATTTTAATGGCCTGACAACCACATGGTATTGGCCCTCTTTTGTCACATTAAGACTGATAATTCGGGACTCTACTAACAGGATTTTGAAGTCGACTGTTTGTTTTCAAACAGGTGACTGTGAACATATAAGTACCGGCTTTAGATCGGGCTCCGTTATTTATGTCATGTTACATGTAAGAATAAAGTGAGGCTGGCCCTGATTTTTACACCTTGATAGATTGTTATTGGTCGATGCGCTCTTTTGCCTACAGTTGTGTCGTGATCATTGTAAGAATAGGACGTAATTATTGCATGTCTTACTTTTTACCTTTACACAGAAAACATTTGCGTTTTGAAGATAAAATTAGTTAAAGAAGTCGCAAATAAAGTAGATTTTATATGGTTGTTTAGTCAGTAACATAAATCAGTCTGTAGGTACATATTAAGTCAATACCTTGTGCAATCCCTTGGTTCTCTTATAATATTATAAATTTATTTTTACTAATGATATATATATTTTTAGTTTTTTACAAGCTGAACAGAGGTAGAGATCTCAATTAAGACCCTCGCCGTATACAATGTGGATCTTATTTAATTTCTTAAGTCTCAATGTTCTATAACGCTTATCGACAACTCAATCGACTTGTCTACGAACATGTAAGATGGACTGATATTGCAAATATAAAAGTATTGGTTTATTTGTTACGATAGTAACTGTCGTTTAATATTGAGGGATCAGATCCGATGCTGAGGAAAGTTGGTGCAGTCCATCTCATGTAAACTTTTATCTCTAAATACTTTTTGTAAATGTTGAGAATTTTCGTATAAAATATATAATGCCGAGGAATATAATAGAATAGTATCACTTGTAATCGCCGGCATCGTTGAGTTAGTGTATCACAGTTGTTAAAATAAATAATTGATGTTGTTACATTCTCTAAATCCAGTTTATATGACAACTATATATTTTGATTGTTCCAGTTGTATGTAGATACTTTGAATTGACTCGACATTTATTTAAAGTTAATGAAACTTCAGATCAATGAAATTGCATTTATTAATAAAAGATTTTCTTGTATATTTTTTGATGTGCTACATTTACATTTAGTTTGGTATTATTATTAAATATTCATTTTAATATTATTCATAGTTTTAGATAGGTACAATAATTGTAGTGTTTTTGTATGTGCCCTAGGTACCTAGTTATGCTTATACCCAATGTTCCTTTGATATAAATTATATTAATTTGTATTAAATTGTATGATCAGACAACTGTATATTTTATCTGTAGTTTTATAATTATTTTGTTATATTAATTTTATCTTTGTAATATAAAGTGGCTTTCACTGCCGAACACAATAATTACTTTTACATATTTGTCAATAATTTATTAATTCGAATTAACAACAAACGTACTGTGAACAAAAGTAACTTTTAATCAGTGTAAAATTGCAATCATAAGTATGACATTTTATTTAATGTAAAGAAAATTCTAGTGAAAATCACTTTATATTATGGTTATTGGTTGTAATAGACTCAAAAAATGATTTAGATATTAATGACCTAGCTTTTAAAATTCATGTAAAGATATTCAAAACCAATTGACGTTTTTAGTAAAAAATAGTTGTATTTTATTATTTTATAAAATGGTAAATCTGTATGTGAATTTATAAACATTGTACCTACCTAATATAATGGAATTAAATAACAGATCTCTTGTTTACAGTATTTAAAATTACATGTCATTTACAAGACTGGTCTAAGTTGTTTCTCATTTATTTTTTCTTCATTAGGAATTTAACTGCACAAAATATTTCCTACCACTCAATATGTCGCCACAGAATTTTAATATCTAGGAACATTTTCTATTTGCGATTAATGTGGTTTTAGTGATTCATGATTCATGATTTAGTATTGACTTCTAACGCGTATAGACGTGTACATTGATGCAAAAGAATATTGCTTAATTGAAGAATTTAATTAACAGTGACCTAGTTTGGTAATTACTTTGCGTTTAATTTTATATGTGAGTAAAGTGCTACAAACTAAACCAAATTATGACAATAAGTGTGTACAACGACGAGTAATATGGACAGCAGCCCCTTCAACCGGAGCGGGATTACTCGCCGCACCCCTCCGCCGACAACACCGTGCCGGGAACAACCAGTCCAAATTGACCCACCTGAAGTTGTATCTACATCAGACCTTCACCAATGGACAGGATCAGTTGAGAGATACCTACAAGAAATCTGCAATATTTCTTCCGAGGGCAAACTGAACTCCGAACAGAAATTGAAAATTAGTAACCTCTGCCGAAAAGTATCCCAAGGTTTCACCCACGTCACTGTGCAATACCAAGCCCTGAAGAATAAGGCATTGATACAACACTATGCCTTACAGGACCTCAAAGATAAAAATGACCTTGCTGTTTCTTTAACGCAAATTAAAGAGACGATAAAAGAGTCCTGCTCCAAATCCGTGCCACAAAATAGCTCTTTTGCCGACATGGTGAAAAAAGGTGCCAACAACTTTGTTCGACCAAGCCCATTAAGCTCTGTTGCAATTTATCCCAGTGATAAATCAAAGACTAGCGACGAAACTAAGAACATTGTACAAAAAGCCATTTGCCCAGGAGAACTCAACTTAAAAGTACGTGGCGTTCGCAAGATACGTAACGGCGGTGTCATTATTAGCACTGAAACAAAAGAGGACTTGGAAAAGCTAAAGAAGTCAGTCCAGCTCTCTTCCACTGGACTTACCGTTGATGAGCCGAAGAAACGTAATCCGCGACTAATTGTTTTAGGAATCCCAACCTCAATGGCTGAGCAGGAAGTGTTCAAATGCATTTTTGAACAAAATATTGCCGAAAAGCTTCCCTCTTTGTCCCGTGATGCGTTCCTGGCTTCAATAAAACTGAGCCATAAATCAGGAAGGAGAGATGCCGACCACTGCAACTTCATCATTGAAGTTTCAGCCGCCCTACGTAAAGCCCTCATAACGCAAGATAGATTGTTCATCAACTGGACATCCTGCCCTGTGAGAGACTTCACTATAGTGACCAGATGCTACAACTGCCAGCAGTATGGTCATGCAGCCAAGTCGTGCCAGGCTGCCGCTCCAACATGTGGTCACTGCGGAGATGAGGGCCACTCTATCAAAGACTGCCCTAAGAAAGGAGCTCCGCCGAAATGCGCTACTTGCGCCCGCTTCAAAAAGCCGAGCAACCACCAAACTGGTGATATTGACTGCCCAGCCAAAAAAGCAGCAGAAAATAGGTATATGAATTCTGTAAATTATGAAGGCGCCTAAGAGCGCCACTCTTTTTTCTTAATTTTAGATCTAAGTTTACTTGTTAAATGGCCATTAACTTAATTAATGATATTGACAATTGTTTTTCAAATATATCTACTTCTTGTGAGGTTGAAGATTGCAAAAGCTATGTATCCAACTTCCCAAAGTCACTAACTGTTCTCACTCAAAACATTCGTAGCTTATACAAAAATATAGATAATTTTCATGTTCTTCTAGGAAGACTTAACTTCTCATGTGACATAATCATTCTAACAGAGTGTTGGCTTAAAAGTAAATGTGTTAACCTACCTGATATTCAGGGATATAACTCCTTTTGTAATACCGTGAATACTAGCCAAAATGAAGGTGTGGTTGTCTATGCAAAAGAGTCATTAAGAGTTACTGTAGAGGAACCTAATACACCAGGATGCAATTGTTTGGTCATTAAGGTAGATACAATTACAGCAATAATAGCTATTTACAGGCCACCTTCCACTAGAAAT